GCAGAACTAAAGGGCATATGCTTCTATAAACATAAATCTCAAACATAAATCAAATTTATTTTTGTTTGAAATTTATTTTTATTTTACCGAATGTATGAAACAAATGTTTGTGAAATTGGGGGCTTGATTTTTTCTAAGCATTTTTAATCTAATCCAAAGAATTCCAAAAATAAAGAAAAAAGGTGTGTCGATACTTGACCTGAATATGTTACAGATTAGGAATTGTTAGTGAAGATCAAAAGCCTCAGTTGGCTTAAATTGTCAATTACATATATTACTAAAATAAAAGCCCAACGTAAACATGGTCTTATCCATAAATTATGGATACTCATACTCTCAGACTTATTGCTACAAAGGATATATATTGTTTTATACGGCCAAAATATAGCTTATCGAATTAATGGTTTTCATTGCAGGTCTATTTGGACGAAATCCACTTATCATATTTAGCTTTAATCTAGCAGTCTCCGACTGTATAATCATCTGTCTCCCTGATTTGCAGGATAACTCAAAGGGTTATCCAATTTCGTCCAAATTTGGTACATCGTAACATTATTATCAAACAAATCGAGTTCGGAGACGAGTAATATTAGTCCACTCCTTTGGACCTTCGATTTTGTTCAAACTTTGTAAAATATGAAAATATATTTGTATCAATTCTAGGGTAATATTTAGTGCGTGAAATATACCATAACATTATATAAATCGTTATACAAAAGTAAAATTTTCCATTAAACCGCAAATATTTTTAATCAGAAAGGTCATTTCTGACTATTACGTAGATGCCGAGAGTAAATATATCGTATATATAGCGAAATATATACAATATGTATATACAAAGGATGTTAGCTAGAATGCTTATATCACAAGAATGGCTGGACAGATTTTGACAAATTTTGTCAATTCAGAATGCCGATTTTTATACCCTACACCACAAGGTGGTCAGGGTATTATGTCTTTGTGCATTTGTTTGTAACAGGCAGAAGGAAACGAGATAGACCCATAGTTCCTTTTGATGATCTGCATAGAATCACATTCTGAGTAGATTTATGCATGTCCGTCCGTCCGTCTGTCCATGTATTTTTGTAAACAAAGTACAGATCGCATTTATTGCCCGATCCAGATGAAATTTTGCAAAGATCTTTTGTTTGGCCCAAGGACGAACCCTATTGAAATTGGAGATAATCGGTCAAAATTAAATATAGCTCTTATATATATCTTCGTCCGATTTGCTTTTTATTGTGCACCAAATGTGTAATATCAGCCCGAATTGTATGGAATTTTGCATATACACCCAAATTAGGCCTGAAAATATTTATGCCAAATTTGGTGAAGATCGGTTCAGATATAGCTATAGCTCCCATATATATTGTTCATCCGATTTGTTATTTTTGTCCACCGCCGCCGTAATATGCACTATGCAACAACAATATTTGGGGAAATATATCAAATGCAGCTCAGAAATACATTTGCTAAATTTTTTCGAGATCGGTTCAGATTTGGATATAGCTCCCATATATAACTTCGTCCGATTTACCTTTTATTGTGCACCAAACGTCTAATACTTGTCCAAATGGGATGGAACTTGGCACTTAAGACCGAATTGATTCTAGAAGCTAGTATGTCAAATTTGGTGAAGATCGGTTCAGATATAGCTATAGCTCCCATATATATTGTTCATCCGATTTGTTATTTTAGTCCTCCGCAGCCGTAATATGCACTACGTAACAACGATATTCAGGGAAATATATCAAATACAGCTCAGAAATACATTTGCTAAATTTTATTTTTATTGTGCACCAAACGTCTAATATTTGCCCAAATTGGATGAAATTTGGCACTTACTACCGAATTGAGTCTAGAAGCTAGTATGTCACATTTAGTGAAGATCGGTACAGATATAGCTATAGCTCCCATATATACTCTTCATCTGATTTGTTAGATTTGTTACCCTCAGCCCTAATATGCACTCTGTAACAACGATATTCAGGGAAATATATCAAATACAGCTCAGAAATACCTTTGCCAAATTTTATCGAGATCGGTTCCGATTAGGATATAGCTCCCATATATATCTTTATCCGATTTCAAATTAATTGTGCACCAAGTGAGCAATACAAGTCCGAATTTAAAAGATACAAATGCTTCGGCATATTTAGTCCTTTGAACTTTAAATTATAATTATAGCGTGTATGATTGAATTCTCCCATAAAAACTTTTAATTGTTATGCGCAGCTCTACTAAATTAGCAAAGTGGTGTAGGGTATCATAAAGTCGGCCCCGCCCGACTTTAAGACTTTCTATTCTGGTTTATAAAATGGACTAATTTTAAGTAACTGTCAGTTATCCAAAGTTATTTTCCTCCTCCCCTACACCATTCTATGAATTCGCCAGAGGCGGGTATTTAAATTCCAGCGATACATCACATCCTTTGACTGGTGAAGAAACTATGGTTAATTCATTTTTCTACCCCACAACACCATGTGTTGCGGGTATTATAAGTTTGATTGGCCCAAAAATTATGTAACGCCTCGAAGTATTGGTTTCCCACATAGGAAAGTATATATGGATCTTCCTATCTGAGTCGATCTAGCTATGTATGTCCGCCCGTCTGTTCATGATAATTTGTAATCACTCTACAGGTCGCAATTATGCCCCGATCCTAACGAAATTTCGCATTTAGGTTGGGTGATTGCTTTGGGAGATGATCGCATAATAATTAGGGGTTGAAACTGAAAAATGTCCTGATCTTGCAGTTGTTCTAAAGGTCGCAATAGACCAATCGACGTGGAAGTTAGCATGGGGCTAGAGCTTAGGGCTGGACAGAAGCCTTCCAATTTGGATGGTCATTGGATAATATTTAGTGCGTGAAATATACCATAACATTATATAAAACGTTATATAAAAGTAAAATTTTCCATTAAACCGCGAATATTTTTAATCAGAAAGGTCATTTCTGACCGTTACGTAGATGCCGATAGTAAATATATCGGTTATATATAGCGAAATATATACAATGTGTATATACAAAGGATGTTAGCTGGAATGCTTATATCTCAAGAATGGCTGGACAGATTTTGACAAATTTTGTCAATTCAGAATGCCAATTTATTTAATTTGACTTATAATATTGAAGTGTATATTTTGTAATACTTTTTTACCTTACAACACAGGTTGGGGTTATTATATACAGATTGTAATTATCGTCCGATCCTCACGAACATTTCCATACGGGTAGGGTTAGGCTCAGAAGGGCTAGGCCTATTGTTTTTCAAAATGTGCGCCATATATTTAGGAGTTGAAATGGACCAAGAACAAAAATGTTCCTGATTTTGCAGCCGTTATAAAGGTCACAAATAGAAACCAAAGGATACGAAATCTCGCATGGAGTTAGAGTTTAGGACAGTAGAATGGGCCACTACTTTTGTTTAAAAAGAATACGAACATTTCCATTCTACCGAAGCGCTAAAAATAACTTACAGGCGAAATCTTAAAAAAACAAATGGCGAACTTCTGACTTTTTATGCTGATTTCATTGCCAAATATAGCCAAATATCGTAGACATGCAAATCTTATAGATGAGTATAACTTTGTAGATACAAATGGGCCTCTTTAATTTGGAAATGATCGCAAAATATTTAGAGGTTCAAATGAACCAAAAACAGAAACATTTTCCTGATCACACAATTGAAACCAGTCGACACGGAATTTTACATGAGAAGAGAGTTAAGGATAGGGAAGAAGTCTAGCATTTTGGATGACCATTGGATTATATTTAGCTTTAACTAACAGCACGACGGAGTGCGTAAATATTGGACAAATATGCCTGGTTAAAATGCTAAGGGTAATATCCGTGACATAATTTCAAAAGTGAAATACTCCAAAATGGATTTAGACATATGGAGACGACCATATCGCAGTGTTGTAGGGTATTACATGGTCAGCCCCACACGACTATAGCCTTTGCTTACTTGTTTTAATTTATTTGTATACCCTCCACCATAGTATGGAGGGTATATTATGTTTGTCATTCCGTTTGTAACACCTTAAAATATACATTTTAGAACCCACAAAGTATATATATTCTTGATCAGATCTATGTCTATGTCGTCTTTGGAAATCCATCTAGCTTTTGAACGAAATGAGGTAGGTTGATGAAATATTACTCAAATGTATATTATGTCTGTAGGACTCTTGGTATTGAAAATTGGCCATGTAGGTCCACGTTTTCGTATAGGCCCCATATAACGGTACTTCCCGATTTTCAGTACATTGATGATTTTAGCAACATTATTCACCGGAATTGTTACAAATTTGGTATTTGAAGTTCGTAATGATGCTACAGCCTATGACAGAATATTGTCTGTGCAGGTCCACGTCTTCTTATAGCCCACATATAACGGTACCTCCCCATATTCGGTATTTTGATGATTTTAGCAACATTATTTACCGGAATTGTTAAATATTTGGTATTTGAAGTTCGTAATGGATACTGCAGCCGAAGACAGAAAATTGTCTGTGCAGGACCACGTTTTCGTATAGGCCCCATATAACGGTACTTCCCGATTTTCGGTACTTTGATGATTTTAGCGACATTATTCACCGGAATTGTTTAAAAATTGGTATTTGATGTTCGTAATGGATACTACAGCCTATGACAGAAAATTGTCTGTGCAGGTCCAAGTCATCGTATAGCCCCCATATAACGGTACCTCCCATGCTATTTCCACTTAACACCTGTCCTATATAAAAATTAAAGAATTTTACCTGGCGCCATCTAGATTAAACTTTGCAAATTCATTATTGTATGTATATTGAAAAAGCTAATTTTTGAACTTTTTAGTCAAATAAACGTTATTTTTGTGAAAAACATTACAAAGTACTTTTCCGTTATGAATTTGGTGCAACAAGGTTTTTATTTCTAAATGTTCTTGTTTGTGAAAAGTCTTTCTTGTTACAAAAATATTTAATTGAATTGTTGTTATTAAAAAAAAAAATAGGATCATGTTTGGAATACGGACACTCTTGTTGGGGTGGTAAGTATTTTTATGAAAAATATTAAAAATATGTATCAAAACTTATATTACATTGTTTTCAATTAGCCCATGGTAAGCGTTCCGGAAATAACAAATTACAGCATATGGACAAAAAACTGGTTAATGAAGTGGACTTTGCTGATTTGAATGCTATAAAGGAGGTAAGGGAGCAAAACCAAATGTTTAAATAACATTATTCTTCTATGATATATTCGAATTTTTCTCACAAATACTAAATAATCATTCATTTCTTTATAACATTTCCTTTCAGCCCTACGATAGCACTGAGGATAATGTGAAAGGCTCCTATGACACAAGTGCTGCAAAAAATAGCGATACATCCAAGACATCAAACGATTTCAACAATGAAACCAACAATGAGAAAATTCTTAAATTGGAAAATCTACTCCTCAAAAGATTAAGTGAAAATGGAAAACACCAAAGGAATGATAAACAATCTGCGAATATGAACGAGCAGCTGACCTCCCGCAATGGAAATAACCCAGATGTTAATTTGAACTACAGATGGCGTCGCTTACCCCTCTACAATTTCAGGCATTTTCAAATTACAAACGACAATTGGCTTAACGATTTGGAAAGGGAGCAGAATCCACATGCCAACGGCAATGATGATGATTATATATAAAAAAAATAATTTATATAATCACAAGGCGAATATAAATTAAAAAACAATGTGAAAAAAGACTCATCAAGATATTTCCCCTAAAAATACAAGCAAACAAAACTAGTAAACAAAATATTTTATCGCATAATGTTTCTTTTTTTTGTAAAAATCAACAATCTACAAGTTTTTATGTAAATGTCAGCAATCGATAAAAAAATAACCAAACAAAAAAAAAAATTATATTTGCATGTTATAAAGTAATTACTAAACAATTATTAAATGTTTAAATGAAGGCCGATAGCATCTATACACGTAAATTATTAATAAAAAATTATAAAAACACTGTATTTTATGTTAAAGCAAACGCTGAATTGCAGGCAAGCAGCAGCCCATGTATTTCCCATTTTTATTGATTTTGAATAAAACGATTTATTTTTTTCAATTAACACTTATTATGATTATTATAAATAAATTTGAAATGAATTGTCACAGCTATTGATGTCCATGGCTGGAGACATTAATAATTGTGACATGGCAATCCATCAGAAAGAAGGCAAAAATAGTTAGTTTTTCATTTATAACAAGGACAAGGATTACAAAAAAAAAAGAAATATTAATTATATGTCTATAGAGAGTAGTACAAATGAAAGGACTTTCAATGAGAGCTTGACGAAGATCATTACGATATCTTTCTTTTGATTTTTATAGGATTGGCTAACCAACTTCCATGATAAAATAAATTGAAGGTAAACTTATTTTAAATAATAAACAAGTAAGCAAAGGCTATAGTCGTGCGGGGCCGACCATGTGACACCCTACAACACTACATAATGGTAGAAGTCCCCTTATGTCCAAATCCATTTTGGAAGATTTCGCTTTTGAAATTGTGTTATAGACCTTTTGGACTAGGGACATTTGCCTAATACTTACGCAAACCGTCGTCCTGTTAGTTACAGTTAAATATAATCCGATGATCATCCAAAATGCTACACTTCTTCCCTGTCCTTTACTCTCTTCTCATTCAAAATTGGTTTCAATTGTGTGATAAGGAAAAATTTTCTGTTTTTGGTACATTTGAACCCCTAAATATTTTTCGATCATCTCTAAAAGCAAGAGGCCCCTCTGTACCTCTGAATTTAGACCCATCTATATGATTTGCTTGTCTATGATATTTGGATATATTCGACAACGAAATCAGTACAAAATGTCAATAGTTCGCCTTTTTGTGTATTTTGGATATCGTCTGTATGTTATTTTCAACGTTTCAGTAAAATGCAAATTTTTGTTTTTTTTTTTTCTCACAAAAGTAGTGGTCCATTCTACCCGCTGTCCTAAACTCTAACTGCATGTGAGATTTCGTGACCTTTGGTTTCTATTTGTGACCTTTATAACGGCTGCAAAATCAGAAAAATTTTTAGTTGTTGGTCCATTTAAACCCTTAATATATTTCGGGCATCTTTGAAAACAATAGGCCTTGCCATTCTGAGCCTAAAACTACCCTTATGACAACTCAAAATCGCTCCAGCCATTCTGGACATATAAGCATTATAGCTAACATCCCCTTCCTTTGTATATACATTGTATATATTTCGCTATATATATCCGATATTTTTACTATCGGCATCTACGTAACGGTCAGAATTGACCTGTTCGTCTATTTGTGATTTCGCCGGCATTAAAAATATTCGCGGTTTAATGGAAAATTTGACTTTTACTTATCCCAAATGCTATGGTCTATTTCAACCACTAAATATTACCCAATGACCATCAAAATTAAAAGGCTTCTGCCCAACCCAAAGCTCTAACCCCGTGCTCACTTTCGATTGGTCTATAATTGTGACCTGTAGAGCAACTTCAAAATCAGGAAATTTTTCAGTTTTTGGTCCATTTCAACATTTCATTTAAACATTATGCGATCATCACCAAAAAGGGTTCTATTCTGACATTAACCCTACCTCCATTTTCAATTTCGTGAGGATCGGACCATAATTGCGACCTGTAGAGTGATTACAAATTAACATGGACAGACGGACGGACGGACGGACATACATAGCTATATCGACTCAGCTCGGCGAGATAGGAAGATCCATATATACTTTCCTATGTGGGAAATCAATATTTCGTGGTGTTACATAATTTTTGGCCCAATCAAACTTATAATACCCCCAACACATAGTGTTGTAGGGTATAAATAATAAATTTGTGTACATATAAAGGACTTACGAATATACATTCCGCCAAAGAATGAGACTAAACATACAGGATGAGATAAAAACAAACTGTTATATTTTTTAAATTTTATTGGATGAAAGCAAAAAATGTCGGAAATAGCATCAATTTTAAAATAAGTTTAGATTTGTTCGAATTGGTCACTTTTAGCACGAATTATGGCCTTCAAGCGGCCAATGAGACCGTCGCACGCTGCCCGAACGTTGCTCTGCGATATTTTGGCCCATTCCCGGCGAAGCGCTTGCTTGATGTGATCGACACTTTGGCATTTCTTAGTGCAAACCTTGCTTACCAAAAAAACTCCAGACACAATAGTCCAACGGATTGGTATCCGGAGATTTTGGTGGCCATTTTGCGTTGGAAATAAAGCGAGGAACCTCATTTTGTAACCATTCTTGGGTGGCGCGTGCTGAGTCCTGTTGGAATGTCCAAGGTCTGTGCCCAAGGCTTTAATACACCATCCAGAATATTTTCGCTATCATATTCGGCATTTATTATGATGCCACGGTTGATTAATACGAGCGGAGAGCGACCATCGGCTGTTATGGCGGCCCACACAATTAACATGGCCGGTGCTTGAGTTCTGGTGGCCAACCGAAGGTGCACAATTTCAGCTAACCTATTTGGCAAGTAAACACGATCATTTTGTTTGTTTACAACTGCTGGACTACGAATGTTTTCTCATCGGAGAAAACCAACTCGGCAGTTCACCACTTTCGGCCAAGCGAAGCAACTCTTTTCTTTCCGTTGGGTGTAAGTTCTTGCACTTTTTGGAATTTCAATGGCTTTACCTCGAGCTCATTTTTCAATATTTGGAATTTGGAATGGAATATTGCGATATGTTCAGCTCACGAGCCATTTTTCGGCCACTGCGACGCGGGTTTCGATCAAGTCGCTTCTTTCCTTTTCGAACCATTTCTGCTGATGTTGATGTTTTCTTCCGTCCACTTCCTTGACGTCGGACTACTCTATCAGTATCACGGTAACGAGCGATGATACGAGACACAAATGATTTATACAAATTTTAATGCTGCAGTGCTCTAACGATAGCCATTTGTGGCTTTCCAGCCAAATATAAATTCTCACCAAAATGCTTTTGTACGCTTGCAAACAATATAATGAGCTGTCACTGGAATAATTTTAACTGTCGGTTTTTCATCTCATCCTGAATACTAAAACCAAATTTGGTGTGAAGATGGAATATTTAGGACAACTCCTTCTGGTAACCCCCTACAACGGGTCAACATTTGGAATAACCCAAACTATCATAAAATGCGAAATAAGCATTCGATACATGTTAAGCTTCACACATTCCAAAATTTCCACTAACACAAGATCTGGTGTGAAGATGGAACATATCGGGTTACTCCTTGTGGTACCTTCCCGACAAAGGGTCAACATTTTGAATTAATCTTAATTATGTCTCTCATACCATGCGAAACAAGTCAGCGATTTTTTCAAACTTGGTTTATCTAAATATGTCTCTCAGCTAGAGATCTGATGATAATACGGAATTTTTCGGCCACCTTCTTCTGGTACCTCCTTCATATTGAATAATTATGTGTAAGTAGTCTGCGATTTTAATCAAACTTCGTGTATCTATATTTATGTCTATCTTACGGATATTTAGTCCACTCCATCTGTTGACTAACAATTATTCCTATAGACTTCTAAATAAGTGCTCGTTTCTTTAAATTTTGCACATACAAAATATTTTTGGGAACTTCGGTAAATTGCGCACATTTAAACATTTTCCACATTTGTATCAGATTTTTTCCAGATATGAAATTGACAAATTCCTATCTTTCGGACGAATTAAGATAGAAGGCACACATGTGTATTTTGCCAGTAGGCAGGTTAAGTTCCTAAATGGGTCATGTCGGTCTACGTTTATGTATAGCACGAATATAACTCAATATTTGGTATTTTGATGACTTAAGTGACACTATAGACCGGAATTGTTTTAAATTTCGTATTGGAAGATTTTGATGGGTATTAGAGAGTATGACAAAAAATTACTTATGTAGGTCCGTGTCTTCGTATAGCCCCTATATAACTGTACCTCCCAATATTCCGTATTTTTTGGTATTAGAGAAATTGTAGAACGGAATTGTTTCAAATTTCGTATTTAAGGTTGGTAATGGATACTATTGCCTTGCAAATGCAGGTCCGCATCTTCGTATAGCCCCCATATAATGATACCTCCTGATAATCGATATTCCGATGATTTTAGTAACACTTTTCACCGGAATAATTTCAAATTCCGTGATTGGAGTTCCTAATGCATACTTCACGTCGTCCGAACTTAGGTGCTTTTATATTTGTTATATATTTGTTATAGCCGGGTATTTTGACTTTTAGCCACTGAATATGCTTCGCAACTCACGAGAATATTGATGCATTTTGGATTTAATAAAAAAATAATGTTATTAAAATTAAATTTATTATATATATATTTTTCTTATATATTTCTTATATTTATTTATATATATTTATTTAACAATATTACTGAACAATTCGTTGATTTGTAAAATATATGGATGTATATGTACCTATTAAAAGATGTTGCTTTCCTTTGATTTATGTACAATAAAATAAACAAAAAATGAGGACTGCCTTCAATGCCTTTCAATGGTTCTATTTCTCTGACAAACATTGTCAGCATTGGCCACCTCAATGGCTAATAAATTTAAGGCGCTCAATTGAATCTCCAATATGGAATATGTGTCAAACTAAAATGGATTTCATACAATTTTTTAACAAATTTATCCAACCATAATTTTAGCATATTGAATAATAGTTTTCATCTGAGATCTACTACAACTAGTTATGCAACTTAACTTAAAACTTAACAACTAAATTTTAACTTATAACACATTTAAGCTTTGATTTTTGCTGGTATTTCGAAACAAACCGCATCACCCTCTTTGTCGCCCAAACCCCAATGAATTGTCAGACTGACCGTGGGGTAGATGGGTAAAATCTTAAAACTATTCTTGTACAGATAAGTTTCGCCAGCCTTCAGGGGACAGCCTACTTGATTTTTACCCTCAGCATCGTAGATGTGAGGACAGGCACTGGTGCCATAGTAGCCGGGGAATGGCAATGGAACATCCAACAGAATACCTTGAATATCCGAATTCAATTCTTTGAAATCACGATTTGGTACAATTTTAATTTGAATTTCAGGTTCTGTATTGCGTTTGAGAGTACACTTTGATTTTGGACAATTTGTGATGCTTACATCACCATTTTCCACAAGACGTGCTTTGGCTGCAAAAGGAGAAGGGGATAATCAAATATTTATTTATTTTTATTCAAACGTGAATGGAATTTATGCGAACTCACTTTTGGCACAATTTCTCACAGTGGTGGCACTGGAAGCGGCAATGAAAGCCAAAACAACAGCAAAGCAAATGAAGCTCTTCATATTGAAAATGTTGGGAATGTTTTTTTTTCTATTATCTGAAAGTAGGAAAAATACATAAAATAATAAATAAAATAATAATAATAATAAATTTAGTAAAAAAAACAATATTGATAGTATAGTAGTATTAATATGTGTAAATTTACATAAACCAAAAAGCTTTAAAATTCGATTTTAGAAATAGATTGATATCTGCATAAAGCATTTTTTAAAATTATTGTTAACAAAATGATAGATTTGGTCGACTAAATAATAATAATTTGGTCGAAATTGTTATTTTTTCGACTAAAAGTGGCTAAAGAATGAATATCTATTTCGGGTGACATAGCCTTTTAAAAATAATAAGCTAGTATTTGTAAGTACCCAGCTAACATTTTTCCCAATTTTTTTCCGAATTCGGAAAATAACTCTGCACAAGTTTCCGATTCTGATGTCGAATTCGGAGCAAAATTGTGTGAGATTGCCCAAGATTCTGACCATTTTTTTCGGAAAAATATTGGGAAGGACATTTGAATTTCGTACCAAATTCGGAACATTTTTGTATGTTTGATAAGAAATTCGTAATATTTTCGGATGTTTGATCCGAAATTCAGAAAGAAAATCTAAAATCTAAAAAATTTCGTCAAAAAAGAGTAAACTCTCTGCTGACGCCGGTTCTTACTGTTTTGCTTTGTTTCTTTTTTTTTTTTCAAACAAAACAAAGGAAACGAGTATGTGCAGATTACTCTGAATCTTTTCATGAAAAACGGTGGAAAATCTTTACAAAAAAGCGGATATTAGAGCCCTCGGAAAAAAGTTAGATGGGTAGTGACGATTGCCAAATGTTGGTTAGGAAACTCAGAAAAATTGAGTTGACAATACAGGGTGAGACGAAAAAACTGCAACCAAGCCACTAGTCCGACAGCTGTTAAAATTATTCCAGTGACAGCTCATTATATTATTTACAAGCGTACAAAAGCATTTTGGTGAGAATTTTCCAGGAAAAAACTTATTCATCATGGAATTCAAGCGTGATAGTGTGATTTCTTTTTATTTGGCTGGAAAACCACAAGTGGCTATCGTTAGAGCACTCCAGCATTTAAATGTGAATAAATCTTTAGCCCGACGTCAAGGAAGTGGACTGAAGAAAACAGCAACATCAGCAGAAATGGTTCGAAAAGCAAAGAAGTGACTTGATCGAAACCCGCGTCGCATTGGCCGAAAAATGCACTGAACATATCGCAATATTCCATTCGGCAAATATTGAAAAATGAGCTCGGGTTAAAGCCATTGAAATTCCAAAAAGTGCAAGAGCTTACACCGCAACCGAAAGAAAATAGACTCAAAAGAGCTAAAGAGTTGCTTTGCTTCGTCGAAAATGGTGAACTGCCGAATTTGGGTTTCTCCGATTAGAAACCATTCATTGTCCAGCTGTTTGTAAACAAACAAAATAATCGTGTTTACTTGCCAAAGAGATCAGCTGAAAATGTGCACATTCGTTTGGCCACCAGAACTCAAGCGCCGGTCATGGTAATAATGTGGGCCACCATAACAGCCGAAAGTCGCTCTCCGCTCGTATTAATCAACCGTGACATAAGAATAAATGCCGAATATTATCACGAAAATGTTCTGGAGGGTGTATTAAAGGCTTGGGTACGCGCAATCATTTTGGCCGCAGACCTTGGACATTCCAACAGGACTCAGCACCATCGCACTCAGCAGGCGCCACCCAAGAATGGTTAGAAAATGAGGTTCCTCGCGTCATTTCCAGCGCACAATGGACACCGAAATCCCCGGATATCAATTCGTTGGACTATTGTGTCTGGAGTATTTTGGAAAGCAAGGTTGGCACTAAAAAATACCAAAGCGTCGATCACTTCAAGCAAGCGCTTCGCCGGGAATGGGTGGGTCAGAGCTAAATTTGTAAATTTTATATTGAGGTCACTTGCCGATTCCTTCGTGGGAAATTCCTTTCTTAATGTAACCTTTAAACAATGAAAAAAGTTCCTACTGAAAATATTTAACTTGCTATGGATATAAAGAGCCTACATGTAAATTGTATATTCCACTTGAACTTTGGTTCTACTTGGCTTCATTCCTAAATATAGTTTAGACCACAAACCCATTTAAGACATAAAATGTAAGAAATATGCTCAAAATACAGCTTCTAAAGTTTTTAAAATATTTTTCTTTAAATTCCGTATTCTTCTATTTTCAGCCTTTTCTTGTATATGTCTAATGATATATTTTCTTATTATGAATATTTTGAAAATTATTTATCCGTGTCGTCTAATATAAATTTTAACAAGTAAGCAAAGGCTATAGTAGTGCGGGGCCGACCATGTGATACCCTACAACACTACAATATGTTAGAGGCCCCCTTAATGTCCAAATCCATTTTGAAAGATTTCGCTTTTGAAATTATGTCACCAGGGACATTTGACCAATATTTACGCACACCGTCGTGCTTTTAGGTGTGTGGTCCATTTTACAGCTAAATATAATCCAATGGTCATCCAATAGGCTAGACTTCTTCTTTGTCTTTAACTCTCTTCTCAGACGTGTCGATTGGATTAAATTGTGTAATCAGGATTTTTTTTCTGCTTTTGGTTCATTTGAACCCCGAAATATTTTGCGAAAGTAAGAGGCCCCTCTGTATATCTACGATATTTGGCTATATTCGTCAACGAAATCAGCAAAAAAGCCAGAAGTTCGCCTTTTGTGTATTTCGGATGTCTCCTGAAAGTAATGTTGGTAATTTTCCACACAAAAGTAGTGGTCCATTCTACCCGCTGTCCTTAACTCGAACTTCATGCGAGATTTCGTGTCCTTTTGTTTCTATTTGTGACCTTTTTAACGGCCGCACAATCAGTAGTATTTTTAGTTGTTGGTCCATTTCAACTCCTAAATATATTGCGGACATCTTTGAAAATAAAAGGCCTATCCCTTCTGAGCCCAAACCTACCATTGTAAAAATTTTCGTGAGGATCGGAGGATAATTGCAATCTGTATATAATAACCCTAACCTGTGTTGTAAGGTGAAAAAATATTACAAAATATACACTTCAATATTATTATTCAAATTGAAAAAATCGAATGCGATAAAAATATGAAAAGATAAAAATATGTCACAAAATAATACAAAATCTATATTAACATCATTATTAGAATCTTTTTATGCGATTTAATTAGATTTTATAGTTTTATGCCAAAGAAGCATTCTAAATTTACAAAATTTGTCAAAATCGCTCAAGCAATTCTGGAGATATAAGCATTTTAGCTAACATCCCCTTTCTTTGTATATATACATTGTATATATTTCGCTATATATATCCGTTATTTTTACTATCGACATCTACGTAACGGTCAGAATTGACCTGTTCGTCTATTTGTGATTCCGCCGGGATTAAAAATATTCGCTGTTTAATGGAAAATTTGACTTTTATTTATCACTAAGGTCTATTTCAACCACTAAATATAACCCGATGATCATCAAAATTGGAAGGCTTCTGCCCAGCCCAAAGCTCTAGCCCCATGCTAACTTTCGCTTCGATTGGTCTATAATCGTGACCTGTAGAGCAACTGCAAAATCAGGAAAAATTTTCAGTTTTTGGTCCATTTCAACCCCTAAATATTATTCGATCATCTCCAAAAGAAATAGGGTTCTATTCTGACCTTAACCCCACCTACATTTTACATTTCTTGCCGATCGGGCCATAATTGCGACCTGTAGAGTGATTACAAATTAACATGGACAGACGGACGGATATACATAGCTAGATCCATATATACTTTCCTATGTGGGAAATCAATATTTCCTGGAGTTACATAATTTTTGGCCCAATCAAACTTATAATACCCCCAACACAAAGTGTTGTAGGGTATAAAAAGACCTGCCATCCAAATTTTGCTTCCTTAAATTCTTTAGTTTTTTTTTCCTTTTTTGATAGGTTTTCAATCATAATTTATGTTATTTCTTCTCTCTAATTATGATTATTTTAAATTATGAATATTTTAGCATTTTAAAATTAATTTTGCGTTGATTTTTTAAATAAACATAGCTAGATAACTGCCATTGGACAGCCCTCTCTAGCTTACCAGCTTCATCATCTGAAGAATGTCAACGGTCATCGGTTTTTTTTATGATTTCATAAATTTATTCATGCCCCGCCATACATTCAAAATTATACCTTGAGACATTTAAAATAAGTTTTTTTCTATTTTGAATTAATCGGCCAGTCATCTTTAGCGTTGATGATTTGTTTATGGCGTTTTTATATTGCACCTTTTTCTTAAAAGCCACGAGAAGAACTAATTAGTACAAATTACTAAGACATTTGATTGACATTAAAATTACATTTAATTTTATTATTTATCATCATGTTGTTGTTATTGTTGTTTTTTTTTACTGAAGATTGATCACTATAACACTAGATGATGATTTCGATATATTCAAGTGACCTTCTTGATTACTTGGCATAGACTGAAGACAATCAAGAGATTCAAAAAACGACTAAAACTTAAAAACGGGCTCTTTGCAGAACAAAAGAAAATAAAGAGAGAACACGACCACTTTGCACGGATTGTAATTATCATTAATTATTGCATAATAACAATTTCAAATACATTATTAAGTTTTCTTGTAATTGCATTTACCACAAAGAAGCGATGGACAAAAAACTGGTCTTCACAAAGAAACCAAGTCAAGCGGTCAGTTTTCAAAATAAATTACAAAAAATCACCACCGATACAAAGTAAAAATTCACTTGGATTCTTTTCGCTTACAATTTAAACTCAACGATCGTTCAGACTCAACTAAAGCTTTTAAATAACTCGTCTCCATATTTATATGGCCAACATTTACAGCCAACATGTTGTCTTAGCTGCCCCGCACAATATACTACACAACCAATTCGAGAGACCAAACCTGCTCAGTCGTATGGATGGCAGAGTGAGTGGCTGGATTTTAACCAAACGGCCGAGCAACCAACAAACCAACCTACTAACCGGTCATACCAAACAAAAAACTCATCACCAACAATGATCATCATCATGTATCCAAACAACAATAATGATCATCATCATCATCATGACGATTCTTGATTGCAACTGACCCTTTCGTTAATAAATTGTACAATGTTGTACCCTTTTGAAAAAAGGGGCAAATCTCAAATTACTTTTGCCTCTATAGATCCCATGGAGGGTCGACAATTAAGAGAGGGGAAAACCCTAAAAAAATTTCCTTTCAAAAACGAACAGTTTTATATTCTAATTGTAATTTCAAACACATTTTGTCTAATCACACAAACGGTCGTCAAAAGGCGGTTAAAGCGATCAAACGCTACGAATAATTTCCAAAGTACATGAAAATGCAATCACGCTTTATATGAAAAAAAAAACTTTAAACAATAGATTTTGTCAGATTTATAATCGTGATTAATATATCAACTTGTGAAAGTTATAACATAGTTGTTGCTGTTGTCTGAGTAAAATATTACATCTGATGGGAAGAGAAGATATGCCACCATATTTGATGAGGAATAATAAAAATTTTACTTTCATATAGAAATTGGAAAAAAGTGTTTTCGGTGATTGAATCCGAATAATTATCGTTACCGTCTTAGATGAGGGAATGTACCAAATTTCTCTCTATTCGTACTTCTTGAAATACTCTTTTGTGTTACCATCCAATTCATACATGTGTGAGCGTAATGTCTGAACGAGATGAAGAAGGCTAAGGTCATTGGAGATACCCTCCATTTAAGATTTGTATGCACTCAGCCTTATGACTGGTATCTTAGAGATATACAGGGAGAGATAAATAACTACAACAAAGTCGAACGCCTTAATTTTTACATTTTTTAAAATTTTATTGAATGAAAGCAACAATTATGGGAAATAGCATAAAATTTTAGAATAAGTTTAGATTTGTTCGAATTGGTCACCTTTGGCACGAATTATGGCCTTCAAACGACCAATGAAACCGTCACACGCTGCCCGAATGTTGCTCTGCGGTATTTTGGCCCATTCCCGGCGAAGCGCTTGTTTGAGGTGATCGACACTATTTGTTAGTGCCAAACTTACTTTCCAAAATACTCCAGACACAATAGTCCAACGGATTGGTATCCGGAGATTTTGGTGGCCATTGTTCGCTGGAAACGAAGCGAGGAACTTCATTTTGTAACTTCCTGGGTGGCGCGTGCTGAGTGCAATGGTGCTGAGTCCTGTTGGAATGTCCAAGGTCTGCTGCCAAAATGTTTGCGTGCCCAAGGCTTTAATACTATTTTACGATATAAAATTCAGCATTTATTCTGATTAATACGAGCGGAGAGCGACCATCGGCAGTTATGGCGGCCCACACAATCACCATGGCAGGCGCTTGAGTTCTGGTGGCCAATCGAAGGTGCACATTTTCAGCTGACCTCTTTGGCAAGTAAACACGATCATTTTGTTTGTTTACAAACTGCTGGACAACGAATGTTTTCTCATCGGAGAAAACCAAATTCGGCAGTTCACCACATTCGGCCAAGCGAAGCAACTCTTTAGCTCTTTTGAGTCTATTTTCTTTCTAATGCGGTGTAAGTTCTTGCACTTTTTGGAATTTCAATGACTTTACCCCGAGCCCATTTTTATACCCTCCACTTTGGAATACCCTCCATATTAACTTTGTCATTCCGTTTGTAACATCCCTAAATATTCGTCGTAGACGCTGTAAAGTATATATATTCATAATCAGTTGAAATCAAGATACAGCCCACATTATTTGACGTAGAGCACCAAAATTTAGCAGAGCAATTTGTATTGTGTCTAGGATGGTTGGTATTGAAAATGAGATATATCGGTCCACGTTCTGGTACAGTCCCCATATAACGGTACCTCCCGATATTCGTTATTTTTATGATTTCAATGGAATTGTCTGAAGATCCTCACAAAGAGTTCCTTGTGAGTACTTTATCCTCTAGAAGAGAATTATCTATATACGATATCGTATAGCCCACATATAACGGTACCACCGATATGCGGTATTTTGATGATTTTAGCCACATTTTCCAATAGAATTGTCTGAAAATTCACACAATGATTTCTTTCTGAGTAATTTCCTTCTGGAAGAGAATTTTTTATATAGGTCCACGATATCGTATGGGCCCCATACAACTGGCGGTACAAATCTATATTCGGGATTTTGATGATTTTTGCAACACTATTCACCGAAATTATTTCAAATTTCGTATTTATAGTTCGTTATGAGTACTTCAATCTGTGACGAAAAATTGCCTATGCGGGTCAAGGTCTTCGTATAGCCTCCATATAACGGTACCTCCCTGCATACGGTATTTTGATGATTTTTACAGATTAATATATCAACGTGTGTGTTTTTTTTTTTCAATTTCCATACAAAAATCGAAAATGGTAAAGACTATACAAAATGCATTCTGAGCAACTGGTTTGTGTCTATACTATCTAGATAACAGCTCATGACAGGACTATGTTATCTTTATACTTCTATGTCTTTGTTCCTTATGGTGGAGGGTATTGAAAGTTCGACCCGGCCGAAGTTACTACTTTTTGTTATTTCTTCTTTACTTATAATTATGATTTATCGAAATTTTGTTAAAATTAATGTATTTCAATTGAATAATTTTATGATATTGAATACAAATTATACCCCGCAGTTTGACTTTAATAATTTTGTAGACACTTTACCTTAGAAAATAAATATCGTTGAGGTGAGTACATCTTGCTGGCCTTCATAGTTTTCAACTGATATTCAATAGAGAATAAGCTGTATTCAATGACTACTAGAATCTGCCAAATACTGATTAGAGTTTATCTTTAGCAAATATTCTCTTCTTTTTTTAGTAATTTTGGCTAACAATATTTCAAAGTCATTCTGTTAGAAAAGTAAACAATTCATGTGGAAGAGATGTTAGTTTGTCTGTAGTTTTGTTTTTCTTATTTTTTCGCAAATATTTACAATTATTATGGATGTATTAATTAACACCTTGCTGCCAGCTAAAAGAAGACAAATAAAGGCCAGAACAAAGGTGTTCAATAGAATTTTTGTTTAGCTCGAAACTATGAGAAACTAGAAATGTAGTTGCTGTCACCCGGCTATGACCAAAACTGTAATCCAGGAATTAAATTAATAAAGAGAGAAGCAAAACAAAAAGAAAAAAAAACGAAATAGTTTTATGCTTCCGATTTATGTTAATTTGACGATTTAATTATTTGGAATTCATTCCACATTTAAATAAGTGATGTTTCGGGCGTGTGTCTGACGTTGTCGTGCGAGTGAGCGAACGATCGTACGAACAACTTGTGGTTGAAAACAATAATAAAACTTTTTTTCGACCACTCAACCTGTTTTGGGTGGAACGTGACGTAGGAAAGTGTTTTTTTTAGTTTTGTTTTCGGCGTTGTTTTTGACGTAGCCGATCGATCAATTATTGTAGTAGCCAGCAAAGCCATACTCGCACATACAACTATGCGCACCCGCCTGATATAGTTGCGGAAAGTAAAGTAGATCTCGCGTTGGGTGACTCGAATAAAAATATATGTTTTGTACTACAGTTGACAGCTGATTGACATAAGTTTTATGAAATGTTGAATCAAGTAAATGAAACACAAGTAATTTCTTGGATGGGGGGGAAGTCAGTCCATCTTATTCTAAGAACATACATTTTTCTGAAAATGAGAAGAGAATATTAATTATCGGTTAAATTCCAGGCAAATTTGCTGATTAACTCAAGTAATTTGCTAAAAACATCATCATTATTGTACCCTTCGTTTTATGAATACAAGGGGATATTCTTCTATACAGGGTGAGATGGAAAAACTGCAACCAATTTCAGACCGCTGTAATTTCTAAGCCACTCGTTCGACAGCTGTTATAATTATTCCAGTGACAGCTCATTATATTGTTTACAAGCGTACAAAAGCATTTTGGTGAGAATTTTCCAGAAAAAAAGTTATTCGTGATTAGACTCAAGCGTGATAGTGTGATTTCTTTATATTTGGGTGGAAAACCACAAGTGGCTATCGTTAGAGCACTCCAGCATTTAAATGTGACTAAATCCTTTGTGTCTCGTACCATCGCTCCTTTCAGTGATACTGGTAGCGTAGCCCGATATTAAGAAATTTGGCGGAAGAAAACAGCAACATCAGCAAAATTGATTCGAAAAGTAATGAAGCGACTTGATCGAAACCCGTGTCGCAGTGGTCGAAAAATGGCTTGTGTGTTGAACATATTGCAATATTCCATTCGGCAAATATTGAAAAATGAGAGGAAGGGGTGAAGCCATTGAAATTCCAAAATGTGCAAAAACTTACACCGCAACAGAAAGACAATAGACCTAAAAGAGCTAAAGTGTGGTGCGACATAACTGCCGATGGTCACTCTTCGCTCGTATTAATCGACCATGGCATCAGAATAAATGCCGGATATTATTGCGAAAACATTCTGGAGGGTGTAGTAAAGGCTAGGGCATGCAAACATTTTGGAGGCAGACCTTGGACATTCCAACAGGTCTCAAAACCATCACACTCGGCACGCACCACCCAAGAATTCCTACAAAATGAGGTTCCTCGCTTCATTTCCAGCGCACAATGGCCACCAAAATCTCCGGATACCAATCCTTTGGACTATTGTTTCTGGAGATTTTTGGAAAGTAAGGTTGGCGCTAAAAAACACCAAAGTGTCGATCAGCGCTTCGCCGGGAATGGGCCAAAATACCGCAGAGCAACATTCGGGCAGCGTGTGACGGTTTCATTGGCCGTTTGAAGGCCATAATTCGTGCCAAAAGATGACCAATTCGAACAAATCTAAACTTATTCTAAAA